AAGGTTTATTAGAGGACAGGAACACAGTTCCAAGCAGGGCTTGCAGGTCCAACCCCTCAGCCAGGTCCCTCTGGGGGGCAAGGAGCTTAGACCCCAGACTTGGGGTTTCCTGCGTCTTCCCAGCCAGCCCCAAACTGAAAACTCCCCTCCTCCAGTCTCACTCCTCCTCCCCTCAGCTCCTCCTCCAGCCTTTGTCCAGTTTCCGGGCAAAGGTGTCACCTGGGTCCAGCCCTCTCCCAGCTCAGGTGACAGGCTCAGATCTCCTCACTCCAGTGAAGTCACCCCCTGCTCTCCCACCCCCCATGCAGACAGTCCCAGCAGAACTAGACATTCCCAGGTCAATCTGCCCCACTCCCTACTGCGTCACAGAACTACCCAAGAGGCAACCATGACCTCCCTCACTCCCCCCAACACCTACCTCCAGGAGCTGCCTCAGGCTTGGGGCAACACCTTCCACCACTGTCCAGACACTGGCCCCCAGGACTCCCCTGACACTCTAGTAACACTCCTGCTTTAAAGAGACTCCACAAAGCAATGGGGCCTTAGGTCCTGAGACCAAAGCTGGGACCACTGGCTTCCTGTTGAGGGTGACTGCATTCCCCACCAACTCAGCCCCCTGGCTGCTCACTCTGGACTCCCACTCAGAGCCCTGTGGCCCTGGAGCAAAATTTACCCGGCTCCAGAGGGTGCAAGGGAGGGACATGCGGCTGGGGCAGCGTTGGACATCTGGCCATGCCACTCTGACGCGTATGCAAATCACATCAGCCCTCAACTTTCCTCTATCACCCGCAGGGGGAGCCAGAGAACACCATATGCAAATAAGCCTGGTAGCCCCTAGCAGCACAGCCTTAATTCCCCTGCTTCACCTCTAGAGGGCACCAATGAGCCGGCATCCTGGCAGGCCGGGTGGTGCTGGTCCATGCACTGCCAGAACAGAACATGTGCACAGACGCACGTGTGAACACACCGTACAGGTGTATTGGCGTGCAATGTACACGGCCCGGCCATGTGCAACCCTGTGTGATACTCACTGCGTGTGCAACACACCAGGGCTTGCGCCTGGCCCCAGACACCTTGTGTGAGAGACTTGGCCAAATCCCAGCAAGGCCTGTACACAATGGGAGCCTCTGCCCCACCCAGCCTGCTGGTCTGCAGCCAGTCCCCACTGTGACCCAGACGCCCTGTGCTGGCAGCAGACGGGGGCTCCGCAGTTACGCATCTAGGTGCAGGGCATTGCCTAGACAGGCCCAGACATGCCTGTTTCCCCTCTGCGCTCCAGCTTCGCCATATGGCGCCAAGGGGCCATGCGGGGCCTCAGCTGAAAGCGACAGCTTGCTGGCTGTCTGGTTCGTGCGGGCTGGATATGTGGGAAATATTGAATCTGTAACTCGTAGACAGCTGTGGCCAAAGCTGCGGGGGGTGACGCTGGTCCCTGGGGTGGCTCTCAGAGCTCCCCGCAGCATGAGCCCGTGAGAACGACCACCCCAGCTCAGCCACGTGGGGACAGTCAGACTCCAGACCAGAGAACTTTGCTCAGCTCCAAGGACTCACTCCGGGAGCCTAAGGGCTGGGGTGCAGATTGGCAGCCAGCAGAAGGAAGGAGTGGGGCTTGCGGAGTCCGGAGCAAGGCACTGGTGGGCGAGTTCCCCGGTGGGCGCGGACGCTATCACTGTGAGCAGGTGATAGCGATTCACCCTGTGCCCCTTGGGTAACCCTGAATGTGTCACCCCCAGCCAAGGCGAGGCGTCTGCAGATGGCTCGGGGGCTCAGGCCTGCTAGAACTTTGAAACACTCCATGCCAATTTCCTGTGCAGTTCGGGGGGGCTGAGATCCATGTGGCTGGGATCCTGGCCCTGCACCAGGGCAGGCCACTGCAAGGAGACAGGGAGCAGGTGGGGTCAGGCAGTGTGACATTATGGGTGTATTATAATATCTCATTGAAAGGTGACAGGGCCAGAAAGAGTTAATTAACTCCCAGACTGACCTGACCCGGAGCTGAACTTTAAAGACTGGGTAGGAAGAGATGGAAATGGAGAGAGCTGTGAAATGCAGCCGGCATTGTTAGAGAGAGAAGGGGAGTTGTGTGCTCAGGTCTTGTGATGTCAGCAAAGGAGTCTTGTCTATGGCTGTAGCTTTGATTCAAAGATCAAAAGAGGAATATTAACATTTAGGAAGACACTGGAGTGAAATAGTGTTATTGTCTGTATGTCTCTTTGAAGGTTGTGGTAACCTGTATCTGAACTGTTGAAAGGATAAATTACCCTTTGCTAATTGCCATGATGTATGGGAGAAGGAAAGTTAAGCTTATTGTTTTCTCAGGCCAAAAGGCTGCAGGAAATGTATAAAGACCTTGGGACATGATCCCTCTTCATCTCAGATCTGCTTTGGGTTTCAAGAGGGGGAAACCCTGAGCCCTAAGGATTGAGATCCCCAGTCACTGACTGGAGTCACCCTGAACATGGACATTGGATGATAACCTATGGACTGGTTTCAGAATAACAGCCATGTTAGTCTGTATTCGCAAAAAGAACAGGAGGACTTGTGGCACCTTAGAGACTAACCAATTTATCTGAGCATGAGCTTTCGTGAGCTACAGCTCACTTCATCGGATGCACCTATGAAACCTATGAACTGTTTCTAAAAGGACTTTTGGCAACTACAAGCTCAGCTCTGCTCTGTATCTGAACCTCAAGAATTGAACTCAAGTCTGTCTGTATATTGATCTTTTAACCAATTCTCTCTCTTTGCTTTTTTAATAAATTTTAGTTTAGTTAATAAGAATTGGCTATAAGCGTGTATTTTGGGTAAGATCTAAGTCAGGGGTCGGCAACTTATGGCACTCTGCTGCCTGCCGGGTCCCAGCCGCCAGCCCTGCTCAGCCTGCTGCCGAACCCAGGCCAGGACCCCAGCAGGCAGCAACGTGCCATTCAAAATCCTGCCCCCCCATGAAGAAGCTTGCTGGGTTCCTGTCCCTCTTCCTCTCCCTCCCTGCCGCCCATCAGCTGATGGCCGTTGTGTGGGAGGGGGAGAAGCAGAGCTGCAGCTCTCGCTGCTCTGGGGAGGAGGCGGAGAAGAGGTGGGGACAGGGCCTTGGGGAAGGGGGTGGAATCAGGGCAGATCCCCTCCAGCCCCCTGCCGTGAGGCGCTCTGAGCAGGGGGCTGGGAACACCCCCACGACCCCAGCCCACACCCCAGCCCTCTGCCCTGACCCTTACACCCTCCCACACACCCCAGCCCTCTGCCCTGACCCCTGCACCCCGCCATGACCCCAGCCCTGACTCCAGTACCCCCACATACCCAGCCCCCTCACACCCCATGTCCTGACTCTTGCACCTCCCACATTCCCACCCCCACCCTGAGCACCAAACAGGAGCTCCTGCACCCTCCCACATTTCCACCTGCACCCCTTGCACCAAATGGGAGCTGCCCAGCTAAGCGCTCCACCCCCAAACCTCCTGTCCCAACCCTGAGCCCCCTCCCTCATTCTAGCTCCTGGCCAGACCCTGCACCCCAACCTGCTCCTTCACCCCCAGCCCTGTGCTCATGCACTCCCACCCTCAGCTCAGTGCAGAGAGAGAGGAAGAGAATGGGCTAGAACCAGGGAGAAGGTAGGTACCCATGCTATATGGGCAGGGCTGGGATCCCAGATCAGCCGGGGGCTGAGTGGGGCTGGCAGCCGGAACCCTGGCTGGCAGGAGCCGGCGGACTGAACCCCAGACTGGCAGTGGGCCGAGCTGCTCAGCCCAGTGCCGGTCTGGGTCCCGGCCGCAGGCCCCGCTCAGCCCGCTGCCGGCCTAGGTGAACGGAAGCCCAAGCAGTGGGCTGAGTGGGCAGGTGGTGTAAGATCAGCATTTTAATTTAGTTTTAAATGAAGCTTCTTAAACATTTTGAAAATCTTGTTTACTTTACATCCGACAATAGTTTAGTTATATAAAATATAGACTTATAGACAGAGAGAGACCTTCTAAAAAAATGTTAAAATGTATCACTGGCATGCAAAACCTTCAATGAAAGTGAATAAATGAAGACTCGGCCCACCACTGCTGAAAGGTTGCCGGCCCCTGATCTAAATTATAATTGGACCTGGGTATGTGGCTGATCCTTTGGGATTGGAAGGACGTTTTCTTTTCTAGGATGAGACAAGATTTTAAGTGATCACCATCACATCTGACAGGTGTGTCTGGATGGAGCCAGAGGCTGGGCACTTTAAGGGAACTGCGTTGTTTGGACGTCTGAGTACCCAAGGAGGGGCTATAGAAGCTGTTTTGTGCTGGTTTGGTAAATCTAAGCACTGGAATATCCACCAGCGTTTGGGGTTTGTCTGCCCCGTTCTGTTTGCAGTTCACCCTGATTGAGGGACCTCAGCAGGCTCCCACGGGCAGCCCCGTCACAGGCAGGAAGGAGTCAAATCGGGGGCAGGAGGCGCCAGGAGGCGTTCGAGGAGCATGGCGGGCGGGTAGGCGGGAGAGGGCTGGCGTCAGGCTGGTGCCGGGAGGGCGGCACACTGCTGATGCTGGGCAGAGCCCCTCTGAGCTGGGACTGGATGCCCAGCAGAACTGAACTGTTCCTGAAATGATAGGGCAGAAATGGGTGGGGAACAACCCTCAACAGCCCATGAGAAAACAAACCCTGGTGATTTGGGGTGATCTGATTTTTAGGCCGATTGCTGGAGCTTTTGGAGTCTCTCCTGAGCTGGGGATGCTTGGGGTGGCCATGCTGCAGCCCCCACCATGGCCCCCCACCCCTGCCCTATCTCTAGGCCACCCCCATCCACCTCCCCACAGCAACACTCCACCTTCAGTTGCGGTGCAGCCCCCACCGACACTCCCTGCACCCCCCAAGGGGGACCACAGTGCCGGAAAGGAGAGGCCTGGAAGCCCCGGCCCCAGGACACGAGAGATACTCTCCCAGCCCCCACCCCACTCAGACAGCCTTTCCCGGTGCTTGCCCCCAGCCAGCTCTGGGTGGATGGATGGACAGACACAGCAGCACCCACACACTGTTTTTCTCCAGGATTCTCTTTATTAAAAATGTGCAAGGTACAAAAATGGCAGCAGGAGAGAGAGCGAGGGCCACGCCCAGCACTCCCTGTGCCCACTGAGGCCAATGGCACCTGCCAGGCCCCCAGTGCATGGGTACCAGCTCCTGAGCAAACCCAGACAGACAGACACAGACTTATCAACTTCTGAAAAAGACAAAGTCGCTTACAAATCTCTAAGCAGTTTGCACCAGGCAAACCAATCTATGCAGCACATGCAGGCGGGGGGCTGCCACCTGCAGAGACCCGGGCCAGGGACGAGAGCCTTTAGCTAACACGTCCTGTTCCCCACCCCACCCCACCCAGATTCAGCTGACGCTGAGGAATCAGAATATTACAGCTCCCAGAGGCTGTCGCCTCTAGATCTCATTTGGACCGTCCCAGCTGGGTGTGATTTTGTTTCGTTGGAGCTGCTGCCCAGAGTCTCTAGAAAGCAGGGCCTGTCCCTCCCTGGATCCACCTGGGGCTGGAAGGCAGGCCCTGGGCAGAGATTCCATGTGCCAACTCTTCCACCTCCCCTGCCAGCCTGGGGCTGCCGCACGGAACGAAACAACAAAAACCAAGAGTCTGCAGGAATGTACAAGCCGCTGGTGGGGAGAGGCGCTGGCCTGCGCCGGGCCGGCTCTGGTGCAGGGATGTACAAGCCGCTGGTGGGGAGAGGCGCTGGTTGGCTCTGGTGCAGGTGAAGCTGCCTGGGCCCTACTACTCTGGGCAGTTCAGGATGTCATATTTCACGTAGCCCACTTGCTCCACCTGGTAGCGTGGGGTCATTCGCCAGTAGAAACGGTCCTGGCAGAAGTGGTACTTTCCTGGGCCGGGGAGGAATCCAGAGGGAAGGGGTTAGCATGAAGGAGGAGCTGTGGGACCTGCCTACTCCCAGGCTCCGGGGAAGCCATGTGCAGCCCCTGCTGCCCAGCCAGGCTGAGCACTCTGCCCGGGTACAGGGGCAGTGCCAAGGAGCCATGGAGAACTCCCGCTCCCAGCTCCGCAGAGCCAGGGCCCCACGCTCAGGTCCATCTTGGCCCAGAGAGAGGCCCCGCATCCCAGAACCCTTCTCACCTTCGTAGAGGAAGACATTGTGGGCATTGAGGGGCACGCCGGCAAAGGTGTCATCAGTGAGACGTGGGTAGCCCTTATCCACCTTCTGGACTTTCACGTCCAGCCTGTGGGGAGAAGAGCAGCGCTGGATCAGGCGCCCACAGACCCAGACGTGGGGCCCTGCCCATGTGGGCCTCTGTCATAGGGGCAGGAAACGAGCTAATTTCCTGAACCCAATTGCCACCCCCGTCCCCGTCAGCTAAGCATCAACTTCAACCCGTGCCCAGCCCCCCGTCCCCATTGGCCCAGCATCCACCCTGCCCTGGTCGCCACCCTTGTCCCGGCCGGCCAACACCGGCCTCATGCTCCGGGGCGCGTCCTCACCTCCAGTACTTCTCCCCACTGAAGAGCAGCACCTTGCCGCGCCCCCGCTGCAGGGCCCCCGAGATCCGCTCTGCCTCCTTGCCGATGCCCAGCTTCTCGATCCCGCGGGGGCCCACCACGCTGCTGCCCGTGTACACCCAGAAACGCCGACCTGCCACAGTGACATGGTGCTAGCACGACAGCCCCAGCCGCGGGAGAACGTGCGCCCACGCAGCCCACGGCAGGGCGCCCGCCCACACAGGGGCACCGCGGTCCAGCAAGCCCCCCGCGGGAGCAGAGTGGCAGGGCACGGAGCTGCAGCCCTGGCTAGGGAAGGACCAGTCCCTCAGCCGGTCACTACGAGACTGGCCACTGGGCCCCTCACCCAGCTCCAGGGCGCCCAGGGCTCTAGTGACCAGCTCGGCCCCGTCCCATGCTGCTTGGTGGCCCCCAGAGAGAGGTGCTAGGACAGACTTTGGCACGGGTGGCCCACCCCATGCAGCAGCCAGCCCCGAGTGGCCCCCAGGCTTGCGGCAGGGCAGCGTGAATGTGGGTAAGCTGGGACAAGAACCCAGCACCAGTGCAGCAGGAGCCAGGCCTGGCCCCCAGCGAGGGACACCCAGGGCACCAGGGAGTGGGTCTCTATGGGGCCGGGAGATCCTGGCAAGCTGGGCAGGTCCCAATCCTCACCCGAGAAGAAGAAGAGCTTCTTGGTGAGCACGTCCTGGAAGGCAGCGTCGATGGGGGCTGGAAGGGCTGGCCACGTGGCCTTGATCCGGAATGGGCCCTGAATCGCCCTCTTCCGGGACATGGAGCTTTTCCAGTAATTCCTGAGGGTGCAAGATCCCAGCGTCATGCCGGCAGCATGGGGGGTGAACCCCAGTGTCCCTCCGCCCCCCAGAAACCCCTGTCAAGCTTGGCCCTGCTGCAGCAGACTTGGGGGGGGGTCACACTCTAGGGGCGAGGGGGCCCCCACCAGCTCCCTTCATCAGCAGAGGGCTGGGAGCGGCTCCGCTGGGAGCAGGGGCGACTCCAGGATTAAATGCCCATGTAGATACCAAGGTCTGGGCTCCCCTCATCCTTGTGCCCCCCACCCCCACTGCCGCCACCACTGGGCACAGGGTGCAGGGCTCACTCACCCGCTCTTGAAGAAATGCAGCTCCCCATTGATCTTGGTGATGGCGTCGAAGGAATTCACTTTGCAGGCATCATTGCTGGGGTCCACAGGGCTGGGCTCAGTTGGCAAGGGGGAGTCGTCAGGCTCGGCCGTGGTTGTGGTATCCTCGGCTTGTGTGGTTGCCTGGTCAGGGATGTCTGGCGCCTGCGTCGTTGGTGCTGGGGGCTTGGGACCAGAGCCACGGCCTGGGAGACGGGAAGCAACATGAGGCCAAAGCCGCAGGAGAAGGGCCCGTCTGCTGGCGGGCGATACAGGGGCCCCAGCAGGGCAGACCGGCGCAGCTGGGACAGGTGCACGCAGGTTGTGAGCCAGAGGCCCCGGCCCCTGGTGCCACCACGTGGGTCACGCTGCCAGCGCTCTGGGCTTGGAACAAGCCTGTCTGGAGCAGTGGGGAGCTTGACGGGCTCCCATTGTGTGCCCTGGCACTCAATTCCTGCAGTTGGCGCCACCCTGGACAGGGAAGCGCCGGGGGAGATTTCAGAGACCCAGGCACGGCTCTCGAGCATGGGCTGCAGCCCGCCATGCATCCACACTCCCCTCTCGCCCGACAGGGAGGCATCCCTGCTACGCTGGCATGCAGCAGTCAGGGTTGCCATAGAAACTGGCATCTCCATGGACACTGATGGAAACGCTGAGCCAGTGACATGTTCAAGTCGGGGCCATTTCTCTTTCCAGGATCCACGCCGTGGCTCTGCCCTGCCCTGCCCCCCACCCCTGCCTGTGCCCGGGCTCAGGGCAGCTGCTCACCGTAGAGGAATTGGATGCCGCTGACATCGTCTGGGTGCAGGTGGAAGTCCTTGATGTAGCTGTACATGGGGTACATCAAGGCCTCGCGGACACTCGAGTGGTCCAGGCCCAGAGAATGGCCAAACTCATGGGCAGCAACCAGGAAGAGGCTGTAACCTGAAACCCCAGAACAGCTGTCAGGGCCCAGGCAGACTGCCCGGCCCCGGGGGTCTGACGCCCACCCCCGCAGCCGCCAGCCACCCGCACTGGCCCCTGGGATCTGACAACTGGCCCAGCCTTCCCGCACTGGTCCTGGGGGTCTGATGCCCCCCACCAGCCAGCCCCGCCTCGCCCTGGGGGTACAATACCGCCCCCGCCAGTCCCGCCCGACCCTGGTGGTCCGATGCCCCCCACCAGCCAGCCCCGCCTCGCCCTGGGGGTACAATACCGCCCCCCGCCAGTCCCGCCCGACCCTGGTGGTCCGATGCCCACCACCAGCCAGCCCTGCCTAGCCCTGGGGGTACAATACCGCCCCCCGCCAGTCCCGCCCGACCCTGGTGGTCCGATGCCCCCCACCAGCCAGCCCCGCCTCGCCCCGGGGGTACAATACCGCCCCCCGCCAGTCCCGCCCGACCCTGGGGGTCTGATGCCCCCCACCAGCCAGCCCTACATTGCAGCCCAGAGAGCCCTGACCAGCCGCAAGCACATGCCCCAGGGGGCTGAGGTGCAGCAGCAGCAGGTGGCCTGAGGCCAGGGGCCGTGACTGCTTCCTGGAAAGGGCCCAGCGCGGGGCACAGGGAGCGGCTGTGCCGTGGCAGGGGCACAGGGAGCGGCTGTGCCGTGGCCGGGGAGGCGGCTGTGCCGTGGCCGGGGAGCGGCTGTGCCGTGGCCGGGGGCCCGGGAGCGGCTGTGCCGTGGCCGGGGGCCCGGGGAGCGGCTGTGCCGTGGCCGGGGGAGCGGCTGTGCCGTGGCCGGGGGCACAGGGAGCGGCTGTGCCGTGGCCAGGGGCACAGGGAGCGGCTGTGCCGTGGCCAGGGGCACAGGGAGCGGCTGTGCCGTGGCCAGGGTGGCCAGGGGCACAGGGAGCGGCTGTGCCGTGGCCGGGGAGCGGCTGTGCCGTGGCCAGGGGGCACAGGGAGCGGCTGTGCCGTGGCCAGGGGCACAGGGAGCGGCTGTGCCGTGGCCAGGGGCACAGGGGGCGGCTGTGCCGTGGCCGGGGGCGGCTGTGCCGTGGCCAGGGGCACAGGGAGCGGCTGTGCCGTGGCCGGGGGGCACAGGGAGCGGCTGTGCCGTGGCCGGGGGCACAGGGAGCGGCTGTGCCGTGGCCAGGGAGCGGCTGTGCCGTGGCCGTGGCCAGGGAGCGGCTGTACCGTGGTCGGGACAGAAGCCCCATTTGTAGTCGGTGTCGTAGTTACTGGTGGTGGAACACCAGAGCTTCCCGTCCTGCCGCCCCTCGCTGGTGCACGCTCTGTAGGCCTGGCCCAGGAAGGTGAACGGGAACACGCACGGCTCGCCCTGGGAGTTCCCGCCAATCACAGCCGTGTCTGCAGCACAAAACCAGCCGGGTGAGCAAGATTCCAGCCCCCTGGCGGGGGGCAGCACCCCATGGCTGCTTGGGCCCCTCTGAACAAGGAGACATCCGCTGGGGCAGCTGCCACTGCAAACAGACTCTCTGGGGGCCCCACAGCGCAGGGGACACAGATAAGGGGAGGGCAGCAAGGGCCGGGCTTCTGAGGAGTCTGGTGCTAGCCCAGCTCAGGCACCGGCCCCACCTCACGCCCAAATGGTCCTGGGCAAAGAGGCCAACCCCAGCAAGTGCCAAGGTGCACGCGCCAGGCGTGAGTGCGCTGCGGGCTCCCAAATTCAGCCCCCTCTCAGGCTCTCTCTGCAATTGGCCAGGGCTGCGCGCAGCCGGGGCGGAGGATGCCGGGGATTCGTTCCCACGGAGCCAGCTGGGGCTGCACGCTGGGCAGGAGTGCTGACAGCCCAAAGCAGAGGGCGGGGCAGGGCCCAGATAAGCAGCAGAGCCATCCAGGTTCCAGTGCTGGAAGGGGCCCCTGGGGCAGATGGGGACTGCGCCCCGCTGCAGCCCCCCCGGGGTGCCCAAGGGAAGAGACTCCTGCAGAGCGCGGCAGGGCCGTGGGAGGTGCTGTGCTGTAAGGGGCCACCCCATCAGCTGACCCGGCTGTTGCCTGAACAGTCCCACCCTGCACCCCAGGAGCCCAGTACCTCTGTTGGGGCAGAACCCGTATTTCTTGTCCTGGTCGAAGCTGGCGGTGGTGGCGCACCAGCGGTAGCCGTCAGAGCGCCCAGCGGTGGTGCAGGCATCATAGGACTTCCCCTCGAAGACGAAGGGGAAGACGCACTTGGCCCCGTCGCTGTTGCCGTCGTAGGTGTAGAGAACTACCCGAGGGAAACAGAGAGCGCTGCAATGTCTCCGCCAGGCAGCGGCCTCTGGACTCACAGCAACCCCCCGCAGTGCCGGGGAACCTGCCGCCTGCCCGCGATACCCTCCCTGCCCGGGGCCCCGCCCCAGGGCTGCCCCGATACTCACGCTCGCTGGGGCAGAAGCCATAGACCTTGTCCCTGTCGTAGTCGGGGGTGGTGGCGCACCAGGGCAGCCCGTCGGAGCGCCCCTCCGAGGTGCAGGTGGAGTAGGACTGTCCTTCGAAGGTGAAGGGGAAGTGGCAGGCGGCCCCGTTGGCGTTCCCGTAGCTGGTTTTTACCACTGGTGGGGAGAGAGAGGAGGGGTGTGGTCAGGGTCTGCTGCCAGTGCCAGCAGCAGGGCGGGTTCCCCAGCCAGGCAGCGGCCCTGGAGTCTGACCTCACCTATCCCTGTTCCCAGCGTCCAGAACTCGTCATCGTCAAAGTGGGCATCTCCCTGAACCCCTTTGCCAGGGGGGAAAGCGTGGGCCAGAAGTCCGTCCTTCCCGTCAAACGGATACCCGTCACCGTGCTCTGGAGACAGAACCCCACAGTCAGCCACATGCCTGGCTCCTGAAAGTCCCCTCTGCCCAGAGAGAGCAGGGCAGAGAGGGGAGATGGCCGAAGCCCCCCATACAGACCTCCCCACGCGTACCAGGACATGCTCGCGCACCCCGGCAGGCACACGCACCCAGCAAACACCCATGCTACCAGGGGCTGACAGGAGGTGTAAATGAGCAAGTATAACCCAGGAAACCTCCCCCTGTGCCTGCCCCTTGGCCCCCTCACGAGCCCTGCTGCAGGCACCCCTGGTACCCCACCCACCTGCCCTGACAGAGGGGCTCACCCTGGACGCCAAACTGGATCATGATGTCAGCCTCGCCGCTCTGCAGCCGGGTGAAGGTGAGCGGGGTCACGTCACTCCACACCTTGAAGGCTCGCGCAAAGGCATCGTCTATCACAGAGGCGTCCAGGTCTGGGGAGTAGTTTAGTACCCTGCGGAGCGGGGTGGGGATGAGCAGCACAGGGTCAGACCACAGGGCTCAGGTGCACCAGGGTAACTCCCCAGCCACATCTAACCATGGACTAACCGGAGACACCCGAGACACCCAGGGGATGTGCTGCACTCTCACGACTCAAACCAAGGCCTCAGGTGCTCCAGCCCCACACGGTGGCTAGCAGAGCCCAGTTGTGCCATGGCACGGAGCCGCAGCATAGACTCATAGAATCGCAGGGGTGGAAGGGACCTCAGGAGGTCATCAAGTCCAACCCCCTGCTCAAAGCAGGACCAACCCCCAGCTAACTCCCCGCCCCTCATGAGAGCAGGCTCACGGTGCAGCACCCCCATCAATGATCAGCACTCCTCTGGGCTGGGCCTCCCTAGGCCAGGGTGACTGCCAGGGACCTCAGCCCAAGCCGGCTGGAGGACATTAGTCAGATCTGGGCTCCTGGCAGGGCTGCAGCTGTAAATCAGGCCTGCATGGCCTTGGGCCAAGGCTCTCCCTCCCTGCCCCCAGGTGCAATCTCCTGTCTGTGGGGCATCACTGGTATTTTGAAGTCCAGGTGTGGCCTGGGGGGCGGGAGGGGCTCACCGGTAAGTGAGGTCATTGTGATCCCACTTGAGGTCTCCTTCGAAGGTGAGGAAGCTGCCCACATCGGGGACACCGCATCGAGGTGCCCGCATGGCATCCAACGTGTTGGCATCCAGCTCCCCTGTCTCCTCCAGCCCCAGCTGCTTCTGCATCCTCCTGAGCGCCTTGCCCAGGGACATCTGCCTGCTGCGGGTCTGCCCCTCTGCCTCCACATAGCCGAAGCGCAGCAGGTAGCGCTAAGAAAGGAGAGACGGTCAGAGGGGCGGGCAACGCCGGGCAGGATGGGCAGTGCCTGCTGCTGTCACGGAGTGTGGGGGAGTCCAGGCCCTGCACCCCTCTTCCTGGGATTCACTGAGACTCTCAGCCAGCCAGTAAAACAGAAGGTTTATTGGACAACAGGAACACAGTCCAAAACAGAGCTTGTGGGTACAACCAGGACCCCTCAGTCAAGTCCTTCTGGGGGAGCAGGGAGCTTAGACCCCAGCCCTGGGGTTCCCTGCGTTCCTCCACCCAGCCCCAAACTGAAACTAAACCGCCCCAGCAGGTTCCCTTCTGCAGCCTCTGTTCACATTCCCGGGCAGAGGTGTTACCTCCCCCTCCCGCTCCTGGCTCAGGTGACAGGCTCTCAGGTCTCCCCTCCCCAGGGCATATTCCCAGGTCAGCACTCCCCCCTCCCTGCTGCGTCACATCATCACAGCTGCCAGGACAGGACCAGCTGGGTGACCCAGAGGGAAAGTGACCCATCCCACTTCCATTCCCAAGGAGACTCCCAGCTTTCCCCAGCCCTGCATCCAGGACACTCCCTGCCCCTCATGAGAGCAGGCTCACAGTGCAGCCCTCCAACCTGCGCTCTTCCATCCCTCCTTTGCCATGGATCAGGGGAAACAGACAAGGCCCTCGAGCGGTCACTGGGCTCAACTTGGCAGGGGACCCACGAGCCCACTGTCCTAACAGCTGACCGGCTGCACGGGCACCCCAGGGATGCCCTGCTGGGGGTCCCAGCCCTTACAGGCAAGCCAAGTACTCACTTCTGCAAGCTGTAGATCCGTCACATTACTGACCAGCTCCCCGGGGAAAGAGATCACAGCCTGGGGCTTGGAGTGGAGTGGTGCAGCCCAGCAGCTCAGGGCCAGGAGCCCCATGGCTAGCGGGGCCAGGAGAGTGAGCCCCATGGTGAGGCAGTGGGCTGAAGTTCCCTTGCTGGCTGGCTGGCTCTGAGTGCCGGGCTGCCCTGCTGCTCTGTGCAGTGCAGAGCTGCCAGCTCCTATTTATGCTGTGCAGGGGGAGTGAGTCACTCAGCCCCTCTCCCAGCTGAGGTGACTAACGGCACACTCAGGCCCTTGGGGCTTTGCTCAGCCCTTTAACTATTTCAACACCTTGTTTACCAAAACACAGGGCCCAGCAGGAAGCAGGACATCCTGTGAGGCAAGAGCAGCGGGGGAGGGGTTGGACAGGCCCCTCCGTGCCAATGCCGTGCCTGGGCCGTGCCCAGCTGGTACTACGGAAAGCAGCACACAGGCCCCAGCAGAGGGGCCTCCTCCCCAGGCTTCAGCACTGGGTCGCTCACGGCCCAGGAACGTCGCAAACTTTTGCTGCCCGAACCTGGTTCTCCCACATGGGTTTGGGGCAACAGCTCCTCCCCCAAGCCCTGTACGAATTCGGGGCTGGACTGGGGCCAGGTGTCTGTTCCTTGGCCCAGCTCGCAGGGGTAATTCTGCTCAGTGGAGTAAACAAGCAGAGAAGCAGACCCACCCCCCAAGGTGGGGAGATGCCCAAGTTAGTGCTGCAGTGACGCAGCTGCTTAGAGTGGAACCTGCAAAGCCCTTGGAAGCCCACCTGCGCTGTCAGATCCACCCAAAATCTGGCCTGTCAGGGCAGCATCAAGGGTGCAGCTTGTGGGGCAAGTCTGGGGGTCATCTGGTGCAGGGGGCTCCCCCAGTGACCTATTTTGTAAGAACATTTTGACTTATAGGCACCTCAGGATGCCCATCCAGCTCCCCATGGCTCGTCCAGCCCAGCCGCCTGTCTCGGCCGCAAGCCAGAACCAGCTGCCTCAGAGGACGGCGCAGGTCTCTTGTGCCAGGAGATGGTGCCCGATGGGAGAGGGGTGGGGTGCACGGTCAGGTGGAGCAATGTGCCCAGGGTGCTTTGTGGTACAGGGAAGGGAGCTGCCCACACGTGCACGGCACTGGTGCAGAGCCACCAGGGCACGGCTCCCACAGTCCTTTGCAACCGATCTCCTTGGGGCCCCTGAAGAAAATCACAAGCTCCAAGGCCCATGGGTCAGGCCAGGCCTCCTGTGTCACCAGCACTGGGCAGTCCCGGGGTGCTCTGCAGGAGTCTCACCTCGCCCCCGTGCAGGGCCAGGCTGACCGGGGCCCTGGGGGACAGGGCAGCGATTACCCTCCCCCCAGCCAGGGCCAGCGCCAGCCCCTTTCCTTGCAGGTCACTTTTCCCCACGTGTCGTTTCCTCGGCCCAGGCTCAGGCAGGCTCCGGCCCCAGCGACTCACCCTCCCGGCACAGAGCCACAGATCAGCCCAGCATGTGGCCCACCCTCTGCCGTGGCGCAAGGCTCCGTGGGCCTTTCCCACAGGTAACAACCGATCCCCTCAGCCCCACGCCCTGCCCTGTTGGCACACACAGGGCTCTGGCTGCGTGGCACGGCACAGCCCTCCCTCCGCCCTGGCCAAGGTGGCAGAAGCCTCGCCCGCGCGGCACTGTTTAGACTTGGTGGGAACCCGCGTGATGGAGGGGAAAGCGAACAGGGCAAAGGAAGGAGGGGAAGGAAGTGGCCAAGAGGCAGCTCAGGCCCTGCTGACCAGGACTTTGAAGCATCTGAGTGGCCAGGCTGGACCAGCCCAGGGACTTTCCCGTCTGCTGCCCTGTCACCAAGAGGGGCCAGTGGCAGCTGCCTGTGAGGCTGGCACAAAGCCCGTGGCTGGGGCAGCTTCCTCCAGTCTGTCAGCTGCGGTGAGGGTCCCTTGCTCCCTCCTGCCTTGAAAGTGGGAGCCCACACCCCACCTGCCAGCCCTGTGCCCCTGGAGCTGGCCCTGCCCTAAGCTGAAGGCTCCCAGCTGGATCACTCTTCGCACAGGAAAGTCTCTGCAGGCCCCATCCTCCTCCTCAGTCCTGAGTCGGGTGGGGTGCGGCCCGGCTGCAGCCTGAAGGATTTTCCTGCCTTTCCCCTAGGAGCCCTGGGGGGAGCTGAGCTGTGCCCACAGCCCCGCATCTTGGCTGATGGATTTGAACCTCACCCCTCAAGGTCCAGTCGCTTACACCTGTCCGGGCCCTGGCTGGCGCGGGGCACTGCCAGGGGGCTAGAGGATGGGGAGGAACAGGTCCAAGAGCTCATTACTCGCCAGCTGGCTTCACCCCTCGCCAGCCATGCACAGGCCCTGGGGAACTATCCCCTCTCCCCTTTAGGGGCCGGGGGGACCATTGGCAGCAGGTGTCCGCACCCCTGCAAGCCAAGGAGCCCATCTTTGTGTGCCGATGAGCCAGGATCGCAGTGGGAGTCGGGGCTCCTAGGCAGCTGAGAGCCCTGGCAGCAGTGGGGTGATGGCAGAGAGCAGGCCAGGGCCAGCTGCACCTGGCAAGGAACCCTCCTCCCCCTCCAAACACAGTGTGGGAAGCCAGGGATGAGAAATGGGGCCAGTTGCTTCATCTCACACCACAGCCTGCAAGAGTGACGGGGAGGAAGTTACTAACCGAATGAAGAAAACCCTTCCTCCTTGAATCACCGCTCTGCACACATGCTAAGCTCATTCCATGGGAGCCCCCCGCCGGAGAGGGAGCCCCCCGCCCCAGGAATCCCCTGCCCAGCACTAAGCACCATGCACCTACCGACCCCCAGGTGCTCTGCAAGGCAACGGTGGAGATACTCCATGCCGCAGGCGCTACTCCCAACCTGGGGCACCTACAAACTCCACAGCCTGGGGAGCAGCTGGGGGCAGGGCAGCAGGCTTGGGGGGCTGCTCCAAGGCTCCATCTGCAGCCGCAGGCCGTGGGCATCTCAGTGCATCAGGCCAGTGGTGCTGGAACAATTTGTACAGTGCGGGGGCTGAGAGCCATTGAACCAAACTGTAAACCGTGTGTGTGATGGGAACCACTTCCAGCCAGGGGGTGCAGCAGCCCTCCAGCATCCCTAGTTCCAGCACCTATGCATCAGGCCCAGCACCGGCTCCCTGGGCTCGAAGGCAGGGGCAGCAGAAGGGGGATTATTTCCCTTCCCTTGCTCGCCCTCTGTGCTGGGAACCCGCCTTCCTAGGACACAGAGCCCAGACGGCAAACGGGCTATAAGGGGGGAGCCAAATTCCACCTTGAGATGCGCCCGCTGCTGACACTTCGGCCCCTGGCTGGTTCAGTGGGCACCAGGCTGCAGAATCCGGCACACTGCCGGCCAGGGTGATGCCCACCCCAAGTCCTTACACGAGGTGCTGGACCCTGCAGGCCAGCCCCAGGCCAGCAAGGATGGCAAAGCCTCTTGAGAAAAAAGTTTCAAGACTTGGCCCAAACAGCCCAGGAATCTGCCCAGCGTGGTTCCATGGCTGGGCTATGCAGGCCGGGCCATATGAGCACAAGGGTCCCCCCAGGCTTTGGGTCTATGAAACCACAGGGAGACTCCTCTCCCGTGGGAACGTGCCCGTCTGGAGCGGCCGCCCACGCTCCAGCGATGTAAAACTCCCAGCAGAGCCACCCCAGCTCCTAGATAGACCTTTGGTCTGACCCAGTATGGCTTAGCCCTTCTCCCAGAGCCCCAGCCCGTCTCCTGCCTGGACTCACCTCTGGCCCGGGGGGAATGCCACCCCCCCGCCCTCAGACCCCTGCGATTCTAGCTGGATCCAGGATTCTCCTCCCTGTCCCGCCCTGGCCTGCTGGGAACCTCACTGAGAGCGGACAAATGCCTGCCGCTGGACCCTCAGTAGCTGAATTGCTCCCTCACATTTGTGCAACCTGGGGACCCTTGGCTGGGCAGAGCCACCAGGGTGCCCAGGGTGGTATTTGAAGGATGCGCTGGGGTGGGGCGCGGGCTCTTCCAAACGCACGACGGCAGGTGCAGCCCATGACCAGCCCCTGTGCACGTGAGCAATGTCCAGCCTACGCTCGCCTCTGGCCGGGGCAGCCTGACCCCGCTGGCACAGACCCTGGCTCTGCAGGCCTCCCCACGCTGGGCGGGGGTTCCGCCACCGGGGTCCGGCTGGCCCCGTGAGAGTGGGTGTGACGAAGTGGGACTGTTCTTAATGTTTCCTCTGAATAGTGTGGGGGTGCCTCAGTTTCCCCTAGGCAGTTCTTAAATATCTAGGGGGTGGAGTAAGGGTGTATGATCATTGCAGAGCCCTAGAGGGCAGGTGTGTGCAGGGGTCTGGACACAGGGGATGGCCGACACCCTGTTTCTTGGCAACTGATGGCCTGGGCCCTTCCCCCCCTGCAAGGTGAGAGCTGAAGGGTTGGAGAACAAAGGAATCAGGTGACCTCCTGGCCCGGGAAAGGAACAAAGCCCAGAGGAGGAGGGGCTGGAGGGGGTTTTCAGTTTGGGGCTGGCTGGGACATGGAGTGAAGTGCAGACGTGGTTGTCTGGCTCACTGCCCCCCAAAATGGACCCAGCTGAGGGGTCCCGTTCTCTGCACCTGCAAGCTCTGTTTTAGACCATGTTCCTGTCGTCTAATAAACCTTCTGTTTTACTGGCTGGCTGAGAGTCACGTCTGACTGCGAAGTTGGGGGGCAGGACCCTCTGGCTTCCCCAGGAGCCCCTCCTGAGCGGACTTGCTGTGGGAAGCGCACGGAGGGCGCAGAGGATGCTGAATGCTCCGAGGTCAGACCCAGGAAGGTGGAAGCTGTGTGAGCTGTGTGTCCTGCAGACAGGCTGCTCACAGAAAGGCGACTGCCCCAGAGTCCTGACTGGCTTCATGGGGAGCAGTTCCAGAGCATCGCCCAGGGACTCCGTGACAACTGGTGGCAGCGGTGGGATGTACTGCACCCCGTGGATGGCGCTTCCTGCAGTAAGTGACTGGGGAGCAGTAACACGAAGGGGGATTGCCGAGGACCAGGCCTGCTGAAGGCTCAGAGAGGAGTGGTTTCGGGGGGCGGTTAACCCCTGGGAGTGTGTGACCAGCGAGAAGGACTGTGCAGTAATGGGGTCCCCCTGGGGACTGCAGTGAGCAGTCTCAGGGGCGGAGGAGCCTGCAGCTTGGCCCGGGGAGAGAGAAGGACTTTTGCAGTAACAGGGTTCCCCTGGGGATTGCAGCGAGCAGTCCAAGGGGCGGAGGAGTCTGCAGCTCGACCCTGGCAAAGAGGTGGTGACCTCGAGAAGGGCTGGC